CCGTTCCCGTCCGCTCCCGTTACAGGCAGCGCTGCCCCTCCCGCTCGTGTCCAAAAGTCTCCTTATTGGGCCTCAATTGTCGTCATCTCTGACTTCCCCCGGTAACAGGTTTTCTGCATTTGGGCGGCCTCCGGACGGCTTTGTACAATTATATTTTTGCCAAAAAGCACGGAGGGACCTTTGTTTTGCGGGTGGAGGACACGGACCAAACCCGCGTGGTGCCCGGCGCTGCAGAAGGGATAGAGGACATGCTGGACTGGGCAGGTACAGACACCTTTTGGGTTTTGCTTACGGAAAGATTCTCTTCTTTTTAGAGGTTGGCAGTACCCAAATTGAGGGTGTTTTGCGTGAGAGCAATAGGGCAGTGCTTTACATGATGAAGTAGTAGAAATGTTGTTATTTCTACGGCTAGGAGTCAGGAAAGTCCTACTGGAAGCATGTTTTATAGCAGAAATAGCTGGTTAGGCTCGGTTTCTGTTGGCTGCCTTGTCTGACACACAGAAAGATCCAAATCTGTGGAAGTGGCCCAATGTGGAGTTGTAACAGAGGTTGTGCACGAGAGAGGTGACGGGCAGGTGAGCAGCTGGAGCTCGCAGACCTCCCTGTGAATTTATAAACTGTTTGTGTACGGAGGATGGGCTAAAGGGGATCCGGAGGCGTCCGTTTTCATTTTGAATCTGCTGCTGCTTTTTGAGTTTGAGGACGAGAAGCAAGGGTGATTTTAGAACTTGTGACAGAGCGGATCCCACCGATGCTGCCATTAATGGGCAGGTAAGCTCTGAGGGAGTAGGGCTTTCCTGTTGAGTAGTAACTTTGCAGCAGGTAAAATAATCGTCTATGGTCTCAACGGTATTTCTGTGGTACGAGTGTCCTTTACTGTACGAAGGGTGGGCACTAATTTTGCTCTAGGCAGTGCATCAGGGCTGCTCAGCTGTTTACTGGGTTCTGGGCTCTGTTTCTGCTCTCTGCTTCACACACAGTACTCTAAACCCTGGTGATGTTGGCTGCCATTTATCTTCTGAGTCTCAGGGAATCTGACTCCTGGGCTAGACAGATGCCGTTAGCTGCCTGTCCTGGAGCAGAAACCACCTTTGGATGCTCTCTAGAACCTGCTGTTTCACCTTCATTCAGCGTGCCCGGTGGCGGGGTTCGCTCTGCCTCTTTACTGGGTGTTTGAGTCCCGTCATACCGATATTCCAGGTGTTCCCCCTGACGAGAGTCCTCGCCGCGGTGGTTCCTTTGGACCCTACCAGCAGTCACACAGACTTGACCTCTACAGGAGAGCCAGCGAGGTGCTGTTGGAGCGAGGCGCGGCGTACCGCTGCTTCTGCACCCCTCAGCGCCTGGAGCTGCTGAAGAAGGAGGCTTTGCGGAGCCAGCAGACCCCGCGGTACGGATTCCTCGTCCCTTGGGTGGTTCCCTGTGCCGCACGCTTGCAAAAACTTGTGGCAACATACGTGGCAAGAGGATTGTAATCTCACTGCCCATAGCGGGAGACGCCAGGGGTGAGGCTTAGGCAGGTGACCTCCAGAGATGGGGCGGTTTGACTGGACACGTAGGGGGCCGATTACAGCTAAGGTTCAGGGGTCAGTTTAGAGTTTTGGGAACGTAAAAATGGCTGATGGGCGTGGCCTGCGTTGAACGGAGACCTTGGTTCTCCTTTCTCAAAGGTACGACAACCGGTGTCGGCACCTGACGCCCACCGAAGTGTCTGAGAAGCTGTCGCAGGGCCTCGAGTGGGTGGTCCGCTTCCGGCTGGAGAAGGGGGTGGAACCCTTTTGGGACCTGGTCTATGGCTGGAACAAGCACGAGGTGGCTGACGTGGAAGGCGACCCGGTGATTCTCAAGGGGGACGGCTTCCCCACCTACCACCTGGCAAACGTGGTGGATGACCACCACATGGGCATCAGCCACGTTCTGCGCGGAACCGAGTGGCTGACCTCAACATCCAAGCACCTCCTTCTCTACAAGGCCTTTGGCTGGGACCCCCCTCAGTTTGGTCACCTCCCGCTGCTTCTGAACAAAGACGGCGGCAAGCTGTCGAAAAGGCAGGGGGACATCTTCCTGGAGCGCTTTGCTCGGGATGGCTACTTGCCAGAGGCCCTCCTGGACATCATAACCAACTGCGGCTCCGGGTTCGCAGGTAAGCAGCGCTTTGGCCGTGTTGGAAGGGGTCACGAAATGGGTGTTAGGCGACCAGGGCTTCTGCAGAGCTCCTGTGAAAGACTGGGCGGTGTGTGGGAATGGTGGGAATCTTTCTGCCTCTGTGCAGCCATTTAAATGGAGTCTGATGCTTAATGGGTTCCCACCTGGGACAACATTCATCTCGGGGTGAAGAAACTGTCTGTGAACTCTTGGGAAAGCTTGTGTTCTGTGGTTAATAATGGCAGTGTTGTGTGTTACATTGGTCACACTTCTCGTTTAACCTGAAAGACCGTGAGAAGTTGAGTCAATGACTCCTTTTGTTGCTCTTGCTGTGTGGGGATCACAAATTAAGTTGTGTTTCGCGAACTCTGCTTGGGATCAAAACCCTTCTTGGGCAGCAGAGCCTCCCAGCTGAGTGTTACTTCTTTTTGGCTGACTGATGCAAGGGGTGTTCCGCTGAGGAGCCAAGCAGAATGTCCCAGTTTCCAGGTCCTTGCCAGTAGTTGGCAGAGCCTGCTCTCAGGGAGAGGGCAGCTTCCCGCGGGTGCCTGCTACAGGTTCCCTCCTGGTTAGCGCTGTGAAACGCGGCTCTCCTGCGTCCCTTCTTCCTTGGCTGTGCTGCTGCCCCAGCCCCGCGCCTGAGGCTTGCAGTGGGACGCAGTGACCCTTGTTCTCTGCAGGAGAGTGCATGTGTATTATTCCCTTGTGGGGTTATTTTGCAGAGAAACAGATGGGGAGGACTTTGGAGGAGCTGGTCTCGCAGTTTGAAATAGGCAGAATTACAACCCACTCTGCCCTCCTGGATCTTGAAAAACTGCCAGAATTCAACAGGTATAAACATCAGTGGTAACTTTAAAATGAATAATCTGTACGTGAGTGAGAATGTATTCCTAGCACTTGGCTTTGTCAGGAGATTTTGTTCGTTGGATCAAGCGTGGTCCCAGCGCAGCGGCTTTTTAGCTGTGCTACAGCCAAGTGCAAGTTTCTGCTTGCACTGTTCCTGCCTCCTCTCCCATCCTGTGCTCGGGAGCCCTGTAAAACCTAGGCAGATGGTGGGCGTAGGTAGAAGGATGCAAGGTTTTAAGTTTAGTTTCAAAATAGCATCTAAAAAGAGGCAACACTTCCAGAAGGTCCTTCTGTGAGTGCAGCCCTGTACTACAGGGACGTTGTGCTGCTGAGAGTTGCGTCTTCCGTTCGCTGTGGTGCATTAGAGCCAAATGCTTTGTGGTAGAATGTCTGTCTGCAGTTTGATGTTGCTTTTCTAACAGTTCTACGGTTTTAAATGGTAGATGTTGTGAGGCTGGGATGGTTAGATTCAGTCTGACCCAAAGCAGTCCACAGGCGGTTTTCTTTGTTACAGGATTCATCTCACCCGTCATATTGAGAACGACGGGCTGCGGCAGAAGCTAATTAGAGAGTTGCAGTTGCTGGTGGAACACGTCTATGGGGATCAACAAGTGGATCCAGAGGTTCTAGAAAAGGAATACGTGGAGCGAGTCCTCCTGCTGAGAAAAGTATGGGCAGTGCTGGCATTGTGTCACCGTCTTGGTGAGCTGCGGTTCTGGGGGATTCCTGGGTGAAGACTCAGCTGAGTGCTGGGCACTGCTTTGATCTGAGCTCTGAAGCTCCGCAGCCTGCCAACGGCCACTGGCTGTCACTGCCAGCTCAAGTGGTCGTGTGCGTGCTGACTGCCCGCATCCCATGGTGGAGTTAGCTGGCCCATAGGAACAGGCACGGTGAAGGTCTTGGTGGCCTTTTCAGAGCCATAAGCTCATCCGTACTTTGCCAAGCCAGCAGAGAGCTCCCTCGGCAGAGGGAGGACGTGGCCCTGCCGTGGAGGCGAATCAAGGAACTGTAGGACATGTCTTGGAAGACCTCTCTGGTTCCTGCTCAGAGCAGGCCTGTCAGTAGTGCTGGATCAGGTCAGCTGTGGCTTTGTCTAGAGGAGCGGACAACCTCCAGGCTGTGCTTCTCCTGCAGCCTGGGATGCAGCTGGTGGGACGCTCCAGCCCCCAGGGCCCCTCGGGCTAGGAGATGGCTTGCCCCGAGCCTTTGCTGACTGGGCAGCGTAAGGCGCTGCTGCTTCGCTGCTGCCCCGTGCCCTGGAAGCAAAGTCAAAGCAGGCTGTTTGCAGAGGAAGGCGAAGCTCTTGGCTAAACCAGTGGGGTTTGTGCTGTGGGAGCCCTGGTCTCGGTCAAGTGGCGGAGTGCCGCTGCGGTACCGTGGCTCTTCCCAGTGCCGGGAAGCAGGACGGGCCCAGCTGCTTCCCAGCC